CTTCGTGTAGATTTTATTACTAAAATGTATGGTAAAATTTTAAAAACTCATAAAGTTCTTCGGAATGCCACGTTGTCCCACGATTACATGATTTTCAAGGTAAATTGAAAAATAAAATTCTCCCCGTGTAGTAGTCTACTATTATAGCAATATAAATTATTGAAATAATTTTAGTCTTTACAGCAAAAGTCCGAATAAAACACGATGATAGTAGCACCGCGAGCGACAGTAGTCCTAGTAGACGAGACCGAGGTCACAAACATCCCGAGCTCTACTACGAAGAGCGGTGGATAGAAAGAAGAACACGGCGAAAAGGTAATCTGAAAAAGTTGACTCGTCGAGACAGTCGAAGTTTTAGTGAGGAAGAAGTGCGTCTGTCGAAGACATCTTCAAAAAAGGACGAGAGGAGAGCTCGGAGCGAATCAGCACGGTAAAATGGATATTTCTTCATTCCTTTGCGAAATTAATAAGAGAGACGTTCGAGATACACAAATCTTCTTCTTTCTGTGTTCACAAGCTCTGTTAAATATTTTCAAAATGTCGATATATAGATTTGTTCCTAAAAAAGTTATAAAATCTTTAATACGTTCTAAAAAGAATTTAGACGGTTAAATGTAAAAAATAAAAAACAATCTAAAATGTGTAGAGTATGTGCCGTATTTTCTAAATGTCTCTTTTATTGATTGCATTAACATAAAATATGAAATTTTGTAATTGTGATAATCAACCAATAGATATGAGGATGGAAGCAGTGAGCACAATCTGCGTAAAAAACGAAGCAGAAAAATATCAACGAGGCATAAACAAAAATATTCAGATTCGTCGTTCGATTCGGACAGTTGCGATTATTTTCACGATGACGCTGAAAAAGGAGCAACTAAACAACGGCACGCAAGAAAACAAGAGAAAGATATAAGCAAAAGCCCTAATGAGACGGAAGCCAAAAGTAACTCGAGAAAAGAAGATGAAGACGAACGAAGCGTAAGCGACGATAGCTTAGAAGTAATAGTAGTAAAAAGGTCATTGGAAAAAAAGTGTGAAAAAGTAGTATCCGGAAAAAGATCAAAGGCACCAAGAGAATGCACAAGGGAGACAAAACTGACCAAAACGCACAAACGTAGCTCTAAAAAAACGTCGAGATCCAGCAAGATAAGAACGCTTGATAAAGATGAGAATACAGTAGATCGAGATGAATCTCTGGGCAAGGAAGAAAGAAGCGTTGCAGTAGGAGAGCCGGCTCACCCGGCGCATACTTCCGCTGAAGAAGAAGAAGAAGAAGAAGAAGAAGAAGAAGGTGACAGCGAGAGGATAATAGAATCTCGATTTCGAAGAGACGCGACAGATAGTACTAGTCAGGAAACCGTGGAACGAGTGGTTGTCACAGCAATGGTTCACAAAGATCAGATACCTGATACTCCAAGATCGACGCAGGAAACTGTAAAGGAAATGAGCTCCGACAATGTTTTGAGGAAAAAGATAGTAATAGAGGTAACAAAGGAAACTTCCAAAGATATTAATTCTTCAGATAAAAGTAAGACCAGCAAAGTGTCGCACAAAACTGATACGCACAATACTTCTGAAGAAAAATTACAGCGAATAACGCAAGAGAGTTTGCCAATAAATGAACAAGTCCAGAATAAGGATAAAAAGAATAAAGTAACGACGCCTAGCACGGAAGATGCAAAAGAAGGTAACGGTAAGGAAAATAACAGCATGAACAGTAAGAAAAAATTTCAACATTTCAACTTTTTCATAAGATAAAATAGAGTATTTTGTTATTATAATTTAAGAAATTTGGTAAGAAATAATCTTTCGGTTATTAGGTAGTCATCAATTTTGATACATTTATAAAATTTGTGTTTGCCAAACTCCAGCTACATTAATCTTCTTTTTAGGTAGGTTAAATACATTCGAGGGTGCAATACCGAGTGATAGTATGTTGCGGGAGAAGCAAGAAGCGATCGAAGATAAGGCATTTGATAAGGAAGTCATCGACAAAGAGAAAGGTACTTTTAAAAACAGAAATAAAATCGATAACACTACTGTGATTTCGGAGGATCAAAAAGATTCTACGATTGCAGTGAAACATATCTCGGGTTCGGGTGAAGAGAATGGAAAATTGTTAGCTTCTGAGGATTTAAATCGAGACGGAAAAACTGCGACGAAAAAAGCTTTATTAGACGATGGAGAGTCGAAGGCTTCGAGACAACCCGACGCGCATCAAACTGTAAGCAGCTTGAAAGAAAATGTTGAAGATGTACAGGTAACTTCTGAAGAAAAAGATAAGACTTCAACAAAGCAGATATCCACGAAAGTAGTCACTAAAGAGAGCTCAGCCGAATTAAAAGAAAATAAAGATTTAGATAAACGTGACGATATCAAATTGTCGCAAAAGATACAGGCGGATGAAAAACAGAAAACCGAAGCATTAATCGAACGATCGACAGATGATGACAAATATTTGGATGATTCCGCGCGTGGAAAATCCGCAGATTTGTCATCAGTGGACTCGATGTTGAACGTGGAAGAAAGTCTTTCCCCAGAAAGAACGGGTTCGCCACATGATAAGAAGTTGGAGCGTATTATGAAAAACGAAAAAGAACGAGCAGAGACTGAAACAGGTAATTAGAATATTAGAACCTTAAATTCTTCAGAAATTAAAAAACCGCAATCTTCAAATTTTAATTTCAATGTTTAGCTAACATTTAAAATATTATTTCAAAAACAGAGATTTTTATAAAATAATTTTTACATTAGTAAAATATTTATTGTAAATAACACCATCTTTTACACACACATACCAATTGTAACTTATATAATCACCATTTGTAATTACTCATTTGTAATAAAGTTTTCTTTATTAATTTTGCAAAAAATTAGTTTGTGATATTTTGGATAATACTTTCGACAACACATCGTATTTGTTTTCAACAAATAAAGATTTGTCTAATAGACAAAGGTTTCAGGGGATAAAGATTTTCGTTACATCGACGACAGTTCTTCGAGTTCTCCAAAACCCTCGAGATCGGCGAAAACAAGACACTCGAGACCATCTACGGGAAGAAATGTGAGGACAGGGAAGTCTTCTGCAAAGACATCGACAAAGAGATATCTGTTTGAAAGTTCTGAAGAGCGTTCCCCGCATCAAAGTGCAATAATTGCGGTATTAGACAGCCCAGAATGGGATGAGGACGAAGCGGTCGAAAAAGAAATCAGGGAAGCTCTCGGAGAGAATATGGAACATGAGACAGAGCATGAAGAAGATAATGAAATTGGTGTTATGAGAGTTTTGCCAAGTACGAGTGAGGAAGAGACTCCTAGCACAGCTTTAGGTGTATCTAGAACTTCAAGAATCGATTCTTTGCCTCAGGTAATTAAGAAACTTAACCAATTAATATTTCCATCGTAGGGTGTTGCCAAATGGTTATAGTATATTATTAAATTAATTTAATTTCTTTTAACGGATATTAATTAAGAAAAATGATCATTAAGTAAAAAACAGTAGCTACCTTGATCGATAAAAACTATGTCGTAATTTTATTTTCAATTTTACTTACAAATACGATAAATCTTTAGTATAAATTAAATAAATTTAATTAACGTTGATCGGAGTATTATTATCGCTAGGTACAATCAACAACTAGCAATCGCTTGGTTACAATAGAAAATGCGGACGGTCAGCGAGAACGTTTGTGGAGGAAACATCGTCGCGATAGCGGAGGTAGAGACAGTGGAATAGAACCGAGTCCGAGAGTATCGAGAATTCCACGGAGGCGAAACGTAAAATGTTGTCCAAATACGGCGAAACAGCAAGCTCTCAATATGGAGACCATTACCAGGGATGTGCAAATTAGTCTGCGTCGTTATCATCTCGAAAGAAAAATCTTTTTCCAATTGATGGAGCTCAAGAGATTACAGATTCGTCACGGTAGGGCAAACGAGAACGTCTTAGTGAAAAGACAGGTAAGATTCTAGTTATTAATATTTTAATGCGAATACAGTATGTTTTCCATGATTGAAGGAACAATTTCTTAAATCATAGAAACAAAATTTTAACGTTTATATCAATATTATCGTCGATACATTTCGCGAAATTTGCAGAGCAATCTTTTTCAGGTGGACGCCTTTCACAAGTCGGGAATGTCTGGACCTACTCTTGGCGTCGCAAAGTATAATCAATCGTTAACGTTCAGGTTACTATTGGATTAAATTGTTATTTAATTATTACAATTACTTAATGTGATAAAATCGTTATTGTAGACAATTCGAAGCGTTCCTGTACGAGCAATTAAGAAGACTGCAGGGAAGACCAACTACTCCAGACTTTTGTACCGAAGCCAAGCAATGCACGCAAAAAACTCATCGTTGTCATCATGCAACCAGCGCTTATACCTCCATTCCAGTGTATACTTATCGTATGTTAATATATTATCGTATTTGAATACATCATTTTCGAGATATCTATAATTATTTACGTAGTTGAGTGTGCAAAGTATTCAACTAAAGATTTTAAGACCACATTCTCACGTATGTTTTCTATAAATGTTATCACCGCTGAAGCGATGACTAGATTTTTAAGATTTCGTCGTCAATACGTATGTAGAGCCCGAAAAGAGTCACTTTCTATATTGTGAATGTAGATTATAATTGCAGTGGGTGGAGGCGTCCCAGAACGAGTGGACCATCTTCCGAAAATAGAGAGTCGCGGCAGAGGGCAAATGACGGTAATAACATAAATTACAGAAAACTTTAATAGTTCTCTTATAATAAATAAAAAATATCATGTTCAAAACTTGAAACTTAATTTGTGATTAAACTAAATGACTTGTTCATTTCTAGTGTTTTATGTAAAAGCTGCGCATGGTTATTTCCGCCTTTTCTATATGTCATTCTCTTAGGTGGAAGTGACACATGGAGAGGGAAAACAAGTGATCGCTCTTCCGACTGAAAAAATGGATCGTACCAAAAGATATTTCGTTACATTCACTGTGAGAGGTGAAACGCAAGAAAACCCAAATGTTGAAAAACCCAAATCATCGTACACGATACAAAGAAATGCAAAGAGTGTGTAAATGTCTCAGATCTCTCTGATAATCAACAGCTTGTAACAAATAATGACCATCTTCAATATTTCCTTGGAAAAACTTGACTAAATTGATAAATGAATAGTCTGGGGTATAAATAATGGACATTCTGTATTATTTCATGTAAAATCTTTAAAAAAGATGATAATAGAGAAAGTTTTCTTGTTTGAGAAAAGAAAGCCGTGCAATAAATTTTGTTTTCTAAAATATAATATTATAAAAATATGTAACGGAAGTATTTTTTTTGTTCTTTTCTACTTTAGATAACATTCGAAAAAAGTATTCTTCCTGAAAGTAAATTTGTTTCTCGCACAAAAATATGATATAAGATATACATATACTAAAACTGCCAGACAGGACAACATTATTTGTGAATCAATTAAAGATGAAATTGTGCATATTGTCAAATTAATTTGTGTATAGCGTTACTTGTATATAACATGTATATTCATGTATGAGTAATGGTTATATAGTTTCGTACCTGAATAACTGTAGTATGTAAATCTTCTATAATCGACTCGAAAAGAGAAGCGCTATACTTTGTCCTGAATGCTGCGCTTAGCCTGAAATTTAATGTTGTATTAATGTATTATAAGAGAAGAACTTTTTGCCACTATATATACAAAGTTAAAAATGACGAATTTATTTAATGTAGAATATATCTTCGACTTATATTCTGTGTGTGTTCCCTAGTTATGTAAAATGATATTCTATATAATATAAATAAATCAAACTTAATTATGCTATAACATATTTTCTATCTTGTACCCCTCAAAAATTGTAGACAAAAATTTGGAAATAATTTTTTATAATGCAGTTTCCATCCGTGGCAATACGGTAACGTAGTAGCTTACATTTGTGGCCGGTTATAGATTATTTATTTACAGAATAACTATAGACTATGGAAATATGTATAGATTATTCATATGTAATTAAGTACATTCAAAATTTGGTGTTTTCTCCAAACACTAGATCTTGTTTCTGGCTTACATGTAACGAGAGAATCAATCAAATTAGCGAAAGCAGGTGCGGTAGGTACTGAAAGCATTGGCCCAAAGGGTTATCGATCGGTCGGTTGACGTGGTTTTAGGCAAAAGAACAGTCGTGTATGCAGTGAAAATCCGTTTCTCGTCAAGAATCTAGTACCACACCGTCGAAGAAAGCGCTTCGGCAAAAGGTCATGTTAATAATATCGATGCATCGAGACAAATCCGCGATGGTTGCAACGGCGTTCGTCGGGATGCAGCACGAATATTTCATTCGCAGCGTGAAATCCCTGTGAGAAGCTTGCGAATGGACAAATGGCTTCAAGATAGAAAGCTCTGGCTATTTGGTAGCACGCTACCATTGCTACCAAGGAGGTAAACACTGATCACGGAAGTAACGATATGAAACGCACAAAATATACACTCCAATTAATTAGAATATTATCTTGTCGAATGTATACCTTTCAATAATTCCTTGTTCCGCGAAAGTCTAGTGTCTCAGTTTACTTTTACGTAAACATAGAATTTTAGTTTTCTACTCAGTCCATTAGCCCCAAAAATTGAGTTGCCTATTCTTTCTAAAGCTTAGAATACAATTTTTCGAAAATATACAAGGCAGTATTATACTTGTCTTGATCCACATAAAGATGCTACGCGCATATTTTATTAATGTAGAAGGTTTTCCCACACAAGTTGCGTAATAGCGATAATCGAACTCTTATTGTAAAGAAACGATATTTAATTATTATTTGTTAACAACGTTTATTACTGTTGCACGTGTAACTCTATGTTATCAGCGGATTATTAATTTTCACGGAGTACTTGTCACGAAGCTTTTCGTTAAAGGAAAATGTTCATTAAAACATTTACCTTTTTATTTTTAAGTACAACCAATTATAGTCTATGATTAATATTATGTTATGTATCGATATTATTATCGATGGTCATAAGATATTGAGAATAAATAGGATAGATTGGCCCTACAAATAGCAATGGCGAAGCAATTTACATTCCTCATCGTTTATTATAATCGGAGAACGCAGAGGACAATAGAACGCGCATTATCCGGAAGTGTCGTATTCTCATATTTTCACACCTTGTATCGCAGTAACAGTCACTATAGCGTCCGTCCAACAGTTGGGAACGTTTCGACCTCTTTCATGGTCGCAGAATGTATAAACGTACGTCAGGGAACGTAATATCGATTGTCAATAATCAAGAGTTCAACAATAATGTAAAGCCGCCACTTTCTTCGACGTATTAGTACTGTCCGGTATGTTCGCCGACGAGGGTGGCCTGACAAGAGTACTCCATGAACTCTATTCTTGGATTCTTGTACGTACTAATTATTTTTACGTTTTCCTCCTCTAACAAGAAGACGTGTTCTTCGAGCGTTGTGCAAATCGTCAAATCGAATTCTCCGATCGAGTTTTCAGACCGCGGAGTTGAGAAATGCTTGTGGAACTGTAGTTACAATTTACCATTTTACTCACTTATTCTTTCTTTTTATCGCGTATCCATTTCAGCACATATGAAATATTAATTCAATCGTAAAATCATTCGTGAAACCTTCAATCACGAATTCAATCGTGAATCCTTGGAAATTATAATCTTATTCATTTTAAAGAAAGTAAGAAAGGTAACCAATTTAAGATTAATGTCGAATTTTTAGACAAAGATTTTAGTATTAATTATATAGAAAAAATTATTTTAGCCATAATAAATAATTATTAATAAGTCATCTATCCTCTTAACTTTTCAATATTTAATGTCCAAATAAATACTAAAATTTTTTAAAAATATACGCATCTCTGTACGCACGCGCTTCGTAAAATAGTGATTGAAATTTTCTTCAATCACTATTTCAAAGTATATTAATTTTAATCTTCCTCGAGGACGTTTTTCTCTTAAAAATAAACGAAAAAATACGATATTCTATTTTTCTTCTATTTTAAATAATTTTATATAATTGCTATATTTTTTTCAAAAATGGAGCACACGCTTTTTGGACGCAAAATATGCAAGGTCGGTGATTAAAATTATATCCACCTAACGATATCAATATACCTGTATTGTACACAGGAATACGAGGTCTCGCTTTAAAAAAATATGATAACGTTCGAATTAAAATTCTTTTTATAATTGCAATCTTGAGAGTACGTGAACTTAGGTACTTGACAAAATGTGTCTTAACAACTTTTTGTGTCCGTTTCTAACATGCGCATAACCTGTCGGGTCTAATCTAAAGTTCTCTATCCTGTTTGTCGACTCATATATCCGGATGCGGCAATTAACTTTCAAGACAAATACGTACGGCTTACGTCGGAAATTATGTTACGTGCGCGCGCGAGCGCATCGTGACGATGAACGACGTGAGGTTTGCAAATTATCGACAATGCATGCCACAGTGGTGAGAGGCTTGTAATTAATCCAACTCCTCAAATTTGAATAAAATAATCATGAGAACTGACGTATTCCACGATAACAATAACGTCATTTTAATCCTGTGAAGAATCTGTTCAATCGTACCGGGTCAATAGTAGCGAAATGATTTGCACCAAATCGATATCTTACTCAGTCGAGCGTTAAATGTTAAAGAGCACATACATTTCATCGAGCAGCTCTTTCTCATTTTTTTCACGGAGTTTCTTAATCTTGTAGCAATCTCGATGGCTAGTACACAACGATATACACAATGACTCCATTCAATTTTTATTTCCCTTCTGTGGACTGCTTGATTGATAGCATGCGCTCGCGATATCAGTATATTATGAATGCCGAAGCACATACGTATATAAGATCTCGGTATATTGTGCTACCTTAGAGGTATTATCTCGGTTCGGAATTGCAATCGGTGGTTGGCCAGCATTCCACCTACGCCTGCGCCAAACGCGAATTCGAATAAAGCAAAACTCGTGGGGTAGCTTGACCCTTGGTCATCCATCGGAACAGTCCAGCCGGTACCGTACATCGCGATACTATGCTCTTTACGCAACAACTCACGTCGTTACCATGCCTTGCCAAATATAAAAAGTGGGTATTCGAGAACTGGACGTCATTTTGTGCTCCGTGTTTGTACAAACAATTATACGAGACACTCGTACCGATATCTGAACAATTGAGCTCATTGTCAGTCGTTTTTTTACGATCATTTAGTACAAAAAACGACCTAAACAATTTCCTAAACGTGAGGAGTTAGAGATTTTAATTTGCAAAAATATTTCGACGCGCAATTACGATGACTGACTCCAGATTTCACTAATGTTATTTAATCTTTAATCTTAAAGGGGACGGTTAAAAAGGGACAACGGATGAATAAAACTAATTGTAATATCAAAGTTGTGAAAACTGGGGTGAATTGACCGACTTAATATTTAAATGATATGAAAAGTGTATGTGATATGTGTGTGTTATGCAATTATTTTAAACGAATAAATTGTAAAACATAGGCACATTGTATGAATGCTATTTTCGCATAATTGAAGAAATGATTGCCATCAAACTACTTGAAGGCGATCGCAAAGTTTGATCGCTCGAATCGAATGTTACAAAAATTATCACCTCGATACAATTTATCGCGTTTTTTCCGCGAGTTACCGTGTCAACATTTTATTGAAACCCACATGTAACACTGAAAAAAAAAACACCGATTTTGCACAGGTCTCGGGCACCGAGCAAAACTATGGAGCGCTACGAACGTCTGGCGCGTCTCGGCGAGGGTAGCTACGGTGTTGTCTTCCAGTGTAGGGATCGGCAAACTGGAAAATTGGTGGCTGTTAAGAAGTTTCAGCAGACCGAGGATGACCCTTTGATACGCAAAATCGCACTACGAGAGATACGTCTTTTAAAGGTCAGTCTCCTCTCGTCCTTTTTCAATTGTTACGTAAAAGTGAACGTTTTTATCTACAAGTACTTTCTTCGAGCTAGCAAAAGTGGCTCAAAAATTGTAATAATCCTCGTGGCGAACACCCTGCGTAGGATTCGTTATTACAGATATAAAAGAAAGACCATAAAAATCGCTGACTCGTTCGCAAAGTTTTCCGATCCGATCGATCCTATAACGGCGGAATAACCAAGTTTATCGAGGGACGCATTCTTGAAGGTGAACGACCTCCAGAACGTATATTCGCGACCGCTAGTTTCCACTTGTACGGGGCGATGATGGCGCGATAATTTTGTCCTCCTGAAAGCTTTAATGAATATTAGATGCAACATTAGATAAATTGCTTCATTTCCCCCCCCCCTATGATTTCCTGTCTTTACTTTAAGATAAGATATACACACATATAAATTGAAATAAAATTTGTGAAAAGATATAAAATTTATAAATATATTTGATAAAATTGTCTGTTATTTTCGTTTTCTCAACCGCCTCTTATAATGGAATTAAAGTAGCGGGTGGTAATTCCAAACGAGGAAGTCAAGTTCTTATTTGCGCGATAAGGGACTCGCACAGGTGCAATAATGGCTGCGAGAAGTAGCCAACGGTCAATACCGGGTAGCGGTCAATATCTTGGCGTGTTATGGTCTTACCGACCTAACATTATCATTACAATCTCAGTGAATTCACCACCAAACGTATGCGCATTCAAATAAGCCCCCCTACCGTAACGTTTTGACATTTTGCTTCAAGGCTACTCCATGTTCGGTAGACATGAGTACTGCATTATAAGAGTATTTCTCGAAATAAAACAATATACAAGATTTCTTTACAGTACTTTACTCGGAAGACGCTACGAAATGTCAATTTAAAGATTGAATTAAGAGGTGAAAAATATAAGAGAAAAGTTACGCCTAAGGATGCGCCTAAACATGTTGATTGTGTCCCAATCCATCACAAATTACAGAAATAACTCATAGAAATGAGCACTTTCTCTCTCCGTATAGAATCTCAAGCATCCAAACTTGGTCAATCTTCTGGAAGTCTTCAGACGAAAGAGGAAATTGCATTTAGTATTCGAATATTGCGAAAACACCCTTCTGAACGAAATGGAGAAGTATCCTAGCGGTTGCCCGGATCTCACTACGAGGCAGATTACCTGGCAAATTTTGCAAGGTGTCGCCTATTGCCATCGTCTTGGATGCGTTCACAGAGATGTGAAGCCAGAGAACATCCTCATCACCTCCGAGGGCGTGGTAAAATTATGCGATTTTGGATTCGCGCGTATGCTTAGTCCTGGGGAGAACTATACGGAATACGTCGCAACCAGATGGTACAGAGCACCTGAATTGCTGGTAAATATCCGGATGTAGACAACTCAATTTCCGGACCTTGTAAGAGACACAATAGCAATCTATTGATCGCGTGGTTAATAAGACTACAAGTCGATGCCATGTCTAATTATTCCTCTCGAGTTTTAGTTTGCATTGACCCGTTGCTGATATAAATAACGAACTTGGTCAAATAATTTTTGCGTTATGATTGTAGCGATAAAGCAATAGATAATTTTTTTCTTCGTTAAATTTGATGTCTCCTTTGTATTATTTTCGAGGAAAATAGTTTGTTATACTAAATTGTTGAAGATTTTCTTTTTCAATATAATATAAAATATAAAGTAATAAGAAATAATCTTGTAAAGGACGAAAACTTACAAAAATAAGTTTGTCTTTGTTCAAATTTTATTTGATTTATCTTTGTTTAAGTATACGCGCATATTACTTCTTTAAAAGAGCGAAACTTTTATGCAAAAAGTTTCGATATTAAATAAGAAAGAGAGAGAGAGAGAGAGAATCGAATTAATGGTTTAAAGTGTTTTTCGAAACAGGTCGGGGACACACAATACGGCACACCCGTGGATGTATGGGCGATCGGTTGCGTGTTTGCCGAATTAATACGGGGCGAAGCCTTGTGGCCAGGAAAGTCGGATGTGGATCAGTTGTACTTAATAAGAAGAACGCTAGGTGATCTTTTACCGAGACACATGGCTATCTTTCAACAGAACGAATTCTTTGCCGGTATCACTCTTCCCACTCCGCAAACACTTACGCCCCTTGAAGATACTCTACCCCGTGGCAATAGCAATACTTTACAAGTAATTTTAAATCTATTTTGATCACAGTTCTGGGGCTCGAGCACGAATCTTTTTCTCTAGCGTGAACTTGTGAAAAGCGAAAAATTTCATTAACGAATTCAATAATTGTCAATTAAAATGTTTCACTTTTCACGAGTTCACGATTGAGGAAAAGATTCAGCGTCATCAAAATGAAGTATAATCAAATAAATAAAAAAAATTCAAAGTTACCTCAATGATAATTACTGTATAAATATTTTGTTGACAGCTGGATTTCCTGAAGAAGTGCTTGGATAAAGATCCAAATGAAAGGTGGACGTGCGAGCAGTTGTTGAGGCATTCTTATTTTGACAATTTTCATTTTAAAATGCCGGACGTCGAGACGGAAGAGTTTGAGAAACTTAAAAAATATCGAGAACGTTCTAGGGCAAGTTTAATAATTAAGCAATAATTAGAAATGTAACAATGGTGCATAATAGAAGCAACATATAGGCAATGAGAGCCAGTCATAACAGTTACACAACTTTATTTTCGCTTTTTTTTAAATAAATGACTTCACGTAACATCCAGTGACTGGCTCCCATATTTCCTATATGTTTCTTCTACATCACTGTTAACTTTTAATATAGAAACCTAATAGAATTCACTCTTATAATAATTAGAAAAAAAGCTCTGATAACAAAATACTGTCAAATAAGAATAATTGAAGAATAGGAATATGCTAACCTGAATGTGTATTATCATTTATTTTCAGAATACCAATTACAGTCAAATGGTGTTACCTCAACTACCCAAGGCTGGCCCTTCTGTTCATAGCCAAAGTGAAAATCGGCCGAAGAGCTCCTCCATACATCAGCAAAATTTTGACCATCTACCTACCATAAGAGGCTAATTAATTCCCCCTGTGATTGTACATATATTTTCCTAAGCTTTTTGAGAATATTCGTGTTAATTTATAGAATTCTATGAAAATAATTATTATCCTCTCTTTTTATTTGTATTAGCACATTTTTTCTATAGAATTTTCTTTAGATTTTTATTTATACATAGGAAAGTGTAAATGCGTGCAATTCATATGTATATCTCTTACAATAAAAATTTTGTATAAAATATCTATACAAAAATAATTTACTTTAATATACATATAATATTTTGTAAACAACAGGCAAGTATAATAAATTCAAGTTTTAAGTGCAATAAATTATTGTGCTTTCTGAAATTACTTTGCAATAGACAGAGTAACATGTCACTCTCTTGTTCTATTATAAAATGGAATCAGCAAATATTACTTTTAAACAAGATAAGTAAAATGTAAGAGAGAAATAAAATTTTAACATACAATGAAGACATAGAATACGTAAATTAAGTTAAAATATTTGTTCATATTAAAATATACATAAAATTTCTTCGTCAGCACTGTCGTATCATTAAAACTTTTAGAGGATGCAAGAAAAAGTGGTAGCACGCAAAAACAGATGTTTCATCATAACTCAAGTATAATTTCTAAAGATCAACATTATTTCATTAACAGCAGCAAATATACTCACGTACATGGCATTATTTTGTAGCATAGCTCCGTATAAACTTGTATAAACGGATTACTGGATGGTCATGTCTGTCAGATTCTAGAACATAACGCTGTTGCAGAAAATACCACCCAATATTAAGTCCTACAAATGCCGGTATAAATACGTAGAGAAAGTTTCCTTGCACAAACGGAATTTTGTTTATATTAAGTGACTGCGCTTTTCGTCCCATTTCTAAGATAGATATATCTAATTTGGCCGAGTATTTATGTTTCACCTGTACTCTATAAAACATAAGAAAAATCTCTTAATATATCTGTTATCCAGATCATTTGCCAGAAAACTATTTTTTAACTGTATATTTGTAATAAACAAATATACAGAAATGTGTCACAACTAACGAGATATACATTTTTAACAATAACGTAAAGGTATCGATAAATTTTACGATATATCTAACCTATTGCGGTGTTTGTCCTTTGAGCATTTCTCAACACAATTATTACAACAATTATACATCCATGTGTATTTTCTTATTCGATCGATTATGTATTATCAAACACTTCTTTTCTTTGATTTATTTGGGTTCTTTCGATCGAGGAACAATACTGGCTACGAACGTGTTGGTCGAGTCGGAGTTGTTAACTGAAGACCTTAAGCCCGTATCAGACGGACTAAGGC